GTGGGTTGGATGGGAGCAGCGGATGAAGAAGCTTTCTGGGAAACCACAGCAGCAGGTCGCTCCTCTGGGTTGCCCACATGCTTAGCTACAGGATCCATCTCCCAGACCTGGCCCTCCTTCTCTTTTAGGGCCTTGAGGCCTTGCTCATGCTGCTGCCTGTGGGACATTATAATTTGTTTTGCAGGTAACTGGCAGGAGAAAGTTTATGCAGAGCGGCCTGAGGGTGAGACAAAAATGTGAGGGTAATGTAACCCGCCAGCAGTGACAAAGGCTTTTTCAATATTTAGCTTAGGTGGTTCTCTTGGGTCTCATGGGCCTGCCTCCTATGAACTCTCTTCTACTCCAGTTTCTCTGGATATGACTCTGTTCAATAATTATGCCCTTTGTTCCTGGAGCCTCCATATAACCAATTCGGGGGGGGGTGCAGGTCACAGACCACAAGCAGACTTGTGCTATTCCTAGAGCTAACTGCTAGGTCCACACAGTTATGGAATGGATAGGTCCTCTTAATTGCAGTAATTAGGGCCTAGGTTCATTTGTTCCTGTTAAAGAGGTCCTCTTTCCATCCTCTAATTGACTCTGGCAAGGCCTGAGACACCTCTCTCTGATGAATTGATTCTAGTCCCTGACACAACAGGAGGGAGGGGATACTGGCACAACAATACAGCATGCTAGAAAGTAGGTCTCTCAGGGCAAGGGCACCAAATCTCTAAGGGCACAGGGATTCCCTCCATTTTCATTCAGGATGCACACACTGACTGCTAACAGAACTTGTCTCATTCCTTGGTTTACTAGAAATAACCAATTCTGCTCACTTAGGACAATGCCTTCCCCTCACTAAGACCAATAAGATAAAACTAAAAAGGTGACCCATATAGCCACCCCTGCTCAGTATCCTTTAGACATTGGCAGTGACAGCACAATTTAGTATGTACTTGAATTAGAGGTCCATTAGTCCTCCCTCAGAGCTATCACCTCTGGCAATCTGAATTTCCCCATCTCAGATCCCATCCATGTTAAAAAAAAATGAAACTAAATGCCAACATATAAACAACCCCACCACATTTGTAAAATACTGGACCACCTGGAAATGAAGGGAGCCTCATACAGACATGTCTGTATGGAGCCTTGTTGGGGTAAGAGAAATGAATAGTCTTCTATTTTTATTTTATTGAAAATGGTTATTTTCATAGACTATATTCTGATCATGGTTTCCCCTCCAGGGTCTCTTCCTAGATCTTACTTTCTAATTCCATGCTTGTTTTCCTTCTCTTTTAAGAAAACAGGTAAATAAAGCAAACAAGGAAAAAACAAAATGAACAAAGAAAAAGAAACTGGATGAGAAATGTATAGACAGGTAGGCATGCCTGCATGCACATATATGAAGAATGAATCTGCATGCATATCCACATACACAGCACATACATGAATATCCACACACATGCAAAACCCAGAAAACCTCAAAATCTGACCAATGGCATAAGCCCTTAATCCCAGCACTCAGGAGGCAGAGACAGGTAGTTCAAGGCCAGCCTGATCTACAGATTGAGTTCTAGGACGGCCACGGGTACACAGAGATACCTTGTCTTGGGGAAAAAAAAACCTCAAAAAACGGGAAAACAAAGACTACT